CACAACTTTTAAATGGTTAATATTATCTTCCCCCTCCGGATTGTTATTAGGGGGGCCGAAACGCGTCGTTTGGTACCCCTCCCGACTTTTCCGCACCTTTTTTAGGGGTTGTTACCCCACCCTAGAGAATTACCAAATAATCAAAGGTAATTTTAAGACTTTTGAAACTTGCACATTATCATACTAAAATTGAATTGGTTATAAAGCTTCATACTCGAAAAAACTTCACTTCTGAGCAACAAGTTTGAAATTTGTATGAATTTGTTTTTGATTTCTACAATGCTTTAAGCGTGGGTTTACAAGGTTTTTTAAATGAACTTTATTTTAATTGAAATTGAACATACTTAAAACAAATTTTCAATGGTTAACCATAAAACAATATGAATTGCATAAAGCGTAAAGGGGAAAAATACCTTAAAAAAAGAAAAGTGGATGAGGTTCAGCAAATGATCACTAAACGCTATATACCGTCTGAATTTCATGAATTTTATAATACAATTATAGAAATATAAAATAAGCATTTAAATTTTCAATATAAATTATGCTTCTATGATTTACTTTAAACCTTAAATATGCTACTCTTTCACGAAAAAAATCTGAAACCTGCTAATCTTCCACGCGAATTGTGAAATGTGCAAGTCTTCGTAGGGACCGACGAAATAACAACTGCAGTGTTGCGTGAATTATTAAGGTATCACGTTCGGAGCGAATTTCTAGCCACATCTTATCAGTTGGGAAGTTGCAAATTTTCACCAGTGCTAGGGTATTGCCGCTTTTATTACGAGCCTCGAACAGGTCATATGTACATTTAATAATTTACATCTTTTGTATACGACGTTTTTTTGGGACTCCAGTGCGACGATACTCTGAACGTTCTTCCAAATAAATTTGCTTGCACTCATCCTTAAATTCATAATTGTTGTACCATTTCGATAGACAAGATTTCAGCGCAGAATTTTCATTGCGACATGTGAAAACCATTATCAGACTATTAGCTTTGCAACACGCTTCAAATTCCTGAACTTCTTTACTGCAGTGGATTTGTTTTGCACGGTCTCGCATAATCCTTGGTATGAGAACTTCCACTTCTACTTTGCGCAGAGATTTGTCATTTGGATCCCCTAGAAATAGCGCAAATGATGTTTTGAGCAATCAAACAGTTTTTTGAAGTCGTTACCTAAATCGTGGGGATTCTTCGAATTAAATGGATTGCCTAACTCGGCCTCTAGATCCATGTTTTCGCGCAGGTAGTGATGATACGATACGAGTAAATTAGTAGAGGCAATCTATCGATGGTTTTGGTTTTTTTTTCACTATCGATATAATCATTTAATAGGAAATTTGATTCCCTTTATTTTGGTATACGTACTTTATATATATGCTGTATAATTCTTACAAAAATTGAATTAATGTAAAATAATTATAAAAAAACACCTTTTGCAGAGAACACCTTTCTACGTAGGCGGCCTTCGGCCGCACTTAGGGATTATAACCCTCACAACGTAGCATTCTCTTTCTGTGTTGCGAAGAAAAGGCACTGAACACCTTTTGAAGAGAACACCTTTCTGCGTAGGCGGCCTGCGGCCGCACTTAGGGATT